ACGTTTAAAAGGCAGAAATGGCAGAAAAACAGTTTGCATAGCCTTGGCAGATTCAACCTGTCCAATGGATAACATCAGAATGAATGAATACGTAAGAATAAATTTACGAGTCAAAGAGGGAGATATCGTCACAATTTGTACCATAAATAATATCGATTATGGAAAAAAAATTCATGTTCTTCCAATCGAAGATACAATCCCGACAGTGAATTGTCAACTTTTCGACGATTATCTGAAACCATACTTTCAGGGGGCATATAGACCAGTATATAAAGGAGACTTGTTTCTTATTAAAGGCCCTCAAGGAAATGTCGAGTTTAAAATAATTGCGGTCGATCCCGATCCCTTTTGTATCGTCGCTCCGGAAACAATCGTATATTACGAAGGAAATGCAATCTTAAGAGCAGACATAGAAAAAGAAATGAATGCTATTGGATACGACGATATCGGTGGCTACAATTCCCAACTATTACAAATTAGGGAAGTAGTCGAATTATCTCTGAAATATCCAAGTGTATTTAACAACATGGGAATTAAACCGCCGCGAGGTGTTTTAATGTACGGGCCACCCGGAACCGGAAAAACTTTGATGGCCAAAGCAATAGCTAATGAATCTGAAGCACACTTTTTCTTAATAAACGGTGCTGAAATCACAAGCAAATTTTATGGCGAATCGGAGAAAAATCTTCGATTGATATTTGCTTTTGCCGAAAAACTCTCTCCGGCAATAATATTCATTGACGAAATAGATGCCATTGCACCGAGCAGAAAGAAAGTCGAGGGACAAGTAGAAAAGCGAATCGTGTCCCAATTTCTCACATTATTGGACGGTGTGATGGAAATGAACGGAGTGGCTGTAATTGCTGCCACAAATTGTCCCAATAATATCGATCCCGCTCTACGTCGAAGCGGAAGATTCGATCGGGAAATATACTTTGGAATTCCACAAGTTAATGAGAGATTAGAAATTCTTCGAATTGCAACAAGAAGAATGAAGTTGGCCGAAGATGTTAAGATAGAAGAGCTTGCGAGAGAAACGCATGGATTCGTTGGCGCCGATATCCACTCTCTCTGCAGAGAAGCCGTATTCCATCAAATAAGAGAAAAGATATGTCTCGATGACATTGAGGATGGACTAACAGATGAGATTATAAATTCTCTGGCCGTGACAATGAGTGATTTTAAATCTGTTTTAAAAAATATTTGTCCAAATGTCCTGCGAGGATGCGTAGTGGAAAATCCTAACGTGTCTTGGGAAGATATCGGAGGTTTAGAAGACGTTAAGAAAGAATTGCAAGAATTAATCGAATATCCGGTAAAATTCGCCGATAAATTCCTAAGATACGGAATGTCACCTGCTCGAGGATTTTTGCTATTTGGACCACCGGGATGCGGAAAAACTCTTTTGGCCAAAGCGATGGTTTCCAGTTGTGGAGCAAACTTCATCTGCATAAACGGGCCGGAGCTTTTGAGCAAATG